GAGCAAAGGGGGCCCGTGGGCCACGGGACAACACTACTGTCTTTTCTTTCTTGCTTACCAGCTCCTGTGCAACTGCCAGCTGTTTCTCTCCAGCTGCTGCTGGGAAAAGAAATGCCCCACAGCTGCATGCCTGCGACGGAAGCAGGCCACCTCGGGGACGTGAGGGCAAGGCACTGTTTGCTCCCCAGTGAAACAGCGAGAGGTGAGAAGGAGGGGGCAGAGATGGTACAGGCCAGGCTGCATCTGCAGCCTATACCAGCATTCCATTCGATTGGCTGGGATGCTGCAGCCACACATACATTAAAAACACGCCCAGCACTTTGGGCCTCTTTTCATGTGCACACATGAAATCAGACCTTTGGTCTGTCAAGGGTCAGTGTGGCCGACTTGGACTGGCAGCTGCTCTCCAGGGTCTTCGGCTGAGGTCTTTCCCATCGCCTCCTTCCTGGTCCTTTGAACTGGAGATGCTGGGAGCTGAACTTTGGATCTTCTGTGGGCCAAGCAGAGATTCTCCCACTGAGCCCCGCCAGCGCCTGTGGGCAAATCAGCACAGTGCAGACTTTGCCTACAGAGCCCTGGTTTTAAACTCCATTTTACCTAATTTACCTCACAGGAATTATGTGAGGATGAAATAAGGTAATCTAATGTACATGTGGATGGCTGAAGCTAGTCCTATCTCATCAGATCTTGGAAGCTAAGCGGGGCTGACCCTGCTTAGTATTTGGATGGGAGACCTCCAAGGAATACTCAGGGTCATGACACTGAGGCAGGCAATGGCAGACCACCTCTGTTAGTCTCTTGCCTTGAAAACCCAATGGGGTCTCCATAAGTCAGCTGTGACTTGATCGCACACAAAAAAGTATACTAAAGCCACATAGCTCAAAATATATTTTTAGAGGAACAGCAAGTCACAAATGTGCTCAATAAAAAATTACAACAACACCACCCAATCCCCCTTTCTTCTCCAACCTGTGCAAATTTCTGCACCATAGTTCCCCTCCTCCCTTCTAAAAAAATGCCTTCATAGAAGCTGTGGTCAGCATAGAGGAGAGAAGCTCTGGCTCAGTGGCAGAACATCTGTTTAGCATCCAGAAGATCCCGGGTTCAATCCCCACTTAAAGGGATCAGGTAATAGGTGTGAGATGGCAAAGGATGAGATGGTTAGACAGTGTCATCGATGCAACGAACATGAAACTGAGCAAACTTCAGAGGATGGCAGAAGACAGGAAGGCCTGGCGTGATCTGGTCCATGGGGTCGCGAAGAGTCGGACTCGACTGTGCGACTGAACAACAACAAAATAGGTGTGATAGACCTCCACCTGTGACCCTGAAGACCTGCTACCAGTCCAAGTAGACTGTAGAGACCTTGATAGTCCAAGTTTCAGTAAAACACAGCTTCATGTGTTTTATTATGTGTTACATCTGTAAGGGAGCATAGCTCAGTGGTAGAGAATTTTGTTTGCATGAAGAAGGCCCCAGGTCCAGTTCCCTAGCACCTGTAGTTAAAAGGATCAGGCAGTAGGTGCCGTGAAAGACCTCTGAGCTCCTAGACAGCCCCTGTGAGTCAGAGTAAACAACACTGATTCAGGCAGTAGGTGACGTGAAAGACCTCTGAGGTCCTAGACAGCCCCTGCGAGTCAGAGTAAACAACACTGACTTGGACAGACCTAGGGTCTGACTCAGTATAAAGTGGCTTCATGTGAGTTGGAGATCAAGAAATAAAGTCAGATTTAGGGAAAGGAGCTGAAGTTATACAGTAATTCTGTAACTGAGTTTTGCAAGGCATTAAACTCTCTCTCACATTCATTTCATGATGTCAAATGTATCAGGTAGGAATATAGTGATACTGGCAATTGGATAGGTAAGAACAAAAACATTAAAGAGTTTAAGTGTGTCCTATGAACACACATTAGGGGAATCCCATTTTACCTGCGTCACCGACAGGTTATTTTCAAAACACAAAACTGAAATCTTAGCTGGTGTGTGGTTGAAATTTTACTTAAAAACCAGAGTGCTTCCATTCCTACTGTGACTGATGTCAGAACACATATTCCTTCACGATCCCATCCTTTCTCATTAGACAACATCAGATATAAAGTTAGGAAATGTACATAATTTCAGAAGATAATGGGAATTGGAGCAAAACTCCTGTGGCTGGCGCCTCCTTCACCGTTCAATGGTCACGACTATTCTTTGCAATAATGGAAAGCCTCAGTTACTTCACTGATCAGTGCCCTTAGATTATTTATATATTCAGCAGAACCACGTGGCAACTCTTTTCCTGGACTGTACCACTTCAAGCTTCAGCTGGCAGGTTGCAAATCTGAGGAGGGGGATCATGCACAAAGAGAGAGAAAAAAAGAATACACTAAAGAGAAATATAAGCTGAACTCTTCTTCTTTTCCCTATGGGAAAGGATTTAGATCCCCGCACCCCCGCAGCCTGAAGTGGTAGAGTCCAGTAGAAACACTGCGTCTCAATCTCAACAGCCTCCAGCCCCTAAATTCTCCAAACTTTTCACTCAACCTCCCCCCTCCCCCCATCCCCTCACATAGCAAATGTTGTAAGAAATAAAGACAATTTTGCGGGGGGATAGGAACAGTATGTGACATGAAACTGTAGCAAACTATGAATTCTGAGGTTTCCTCCTTTGTTGGATGCTATGAAATCCATCCGTGATTTATGGAGACCTCCAAAGCCTGCCAGGAACGAGGCCCCATAACTTCAGGAGAGCTGTGTCTCGAGTGAGGCAAGTGGCAGGTTTATCTGTCAGTAGGGATTGCTTAGGGCTTTGTCTTGATTGTTCCTGACAAGTCCCTCCTGACGTTACAGGTGAAATGTTTCAGATGGTGCTGGTGCTGGTGGGCATCGGGGGATAATGAAGAACACTGAGGTAATTCTCTCTGCTCTCTGACATAAATATAACCTGTGCTGGGAATGTGCGGGTAGGTTAAAAAGGCCGCCTTGCCTGACTTTCAATCGCTTTACCACATTATAAAACAGTGGGTTTTAAATCTAGCAATTCGGCAAACGAGTCCCGATAAATAAAAACCCTACAGGTTCACATCTGGGTTTTGTAACTGTCATCCTGAGGCAGATGATAGATTACCTCTGAGACAGAGGAGGCTTTCATGAGAGATACTTATACCTCGACACGAAGCGTGCTTACTTAAAGAAAGTTACTTTGAAATAAATGGAATTTACTTTCAAATAAGTGGGGTTGTGGGGTGGTTTTTTTATTTCCTGCATCTTCACAATGCTGTAACACATGTCTGAAAAAGTACATGCTCAAGTGTTTTTTTCCACTGTTATAGGGCGATCCTAAGTAGGTCTACTCCAAAACCCCCTGAAGTCTACTCAGTGGGGCTTACTTCCAGAAAAGTGTTCTTAGGATTGCACTGTTAGAAAAGTCACTCAGAAAACGGTTGTCATTTCGTTATGTGGTTGTTAATTCATCAGAGGTTGAGGGAGGGGTCAGCCTTGATTGATTCTCTAGCTTTTGGGTCAGTTGCCCTCTCTGTCAATAGATAAATAGATAGATAATAGATGCTAGGTAGACAGACAGACAGACAAATATCAGGGAGCTGGAAAATATTGTTATTCTTAGTTATCTGGTTTCTGAATGAAAGTTTGATATTTGGATCCCCCCCCCCCCCGTCCCCAGATTCTGATATTATTCAGCTCTATTATTCCTTATGAGGAATCTTTCAGAAAGGCTGAAAGGGCTAGTTTTGAGCAAATGGCATCAAAATTGCAAATGAGCTGCTGGTGCCTGTCCAGTTTCAAGGGAATTGCACCAAAAGCCCCAATTTTATGGACCCCTGAATAGGGAGCCACCAGCCATCCTCCATTGTTTCCTATTGGGGGGGGGGGAATTCCATGCTTTCTCCAGGGCAAAGAATAGCCACAGACGCAAGAGCAAGCAAAGCAACTACTGGCCAAAAGCCTCTCAAAGCAAACAGAACCAACAGGCCCAAAGAACCAATGCAGAACCAGGGAATCTCAGCAGAAAGTGGGACAGTGCGGCAAGCCTAATAAATAAATGGACAACCTGAGAATCTAAGCCAATGTAAAACCAGAGAATCCTCAAAGCCAAATTTAGGAAAGATGATGCAAGCCTGACAAATGTAACAGCACTGTAACTAGAGCCTTTCTGTAATATGGTGTGTAATGTGCTGCTATACGACAAGCAGACATCTGAGGATATCTCAGCCACAAGGTATAGATAGGGACTCTGGGGCAAGTGATGCTCTGTCTTCTTGGTGCTTGGGGGGGCCAACAGTGGGAGGGCTTCTAATGTCCTGGCCCCACTGGTGGACCTCCTGATGGCACCTGGTATTTCTGGCCACTGTGTGACACAGAGTGTTGGCCAGGCCGGGCCTTTGGCCTGATCCAACTTTGGCGTCTCTTATGTTCTTATGTTTTTTCCTTTGATTACCTTAAACAGAAAGCAAAGATGGTGATGGGGGGGGGAGGTTACAGTAACTTCCACTAAAGGTTTACTGTATCATATAATAGGGCATTATTACTATAGGATAGCTCAGTTATGTAACAACAGATCACAGCCTGATTTCAGAGCAGATGAACAACTCTGGTTTCCAGGGGGCTTCCTTGTCATTCCTGGTAGTGCATCCAGTCAGATAGTATTGGGGCAGAGGGAAAACAGATTTTTTAGATATGCAGTGCCGACTAAAACTTTTTAACATGTACTGTTGGGGCCATTAGTCGTTCATTCATACACTCTACCAGATGCAACCCAAATCACGATTTCGGACATTGCAGAAAACAAAAGATGCGAAGGAGAAAAACGAATTTAAAAACACTTGTTCTGAAGACAGAGGCCACTAGGAGTAGTCGTGGCCGAGTGGTTAAGGCGATGGACTAGAAATCCATTGGGGTCTCCCCGCGCAGGTTCGAATCCTGCCGACTACGGGTGGCTTCTTTTTAAAACTTTTAACCACAGGACAAGATTCTGCTCAGCAGAAAGGGCCTGGCACTTCCCTGTGCAGGCTGAGCTCAGAGGGAGCCCTTGGAAGCTGCCAGAATGAGAAGACGGAGCGGGTCCCGTGACGCTCCTTCCCGGATCTCCTCCCCAGCTTCGCCAGGGAAGCGGCCGCTGCTCTGGGACGAGGCGCCAGCATGCAGCACAGCCCCGCGCCGGCCGTGCTGGTCGCCAGCAGGTAAGAGAGACCCGCCGGCGGCTTCCTCGTCGCGCCCGGGCCGCCGTGGAGAGGCGAGGCGAGGCTGTCAGGCGCGCCTGGGCGACCTCGGCGCTCTCCATCTGCTTGCCCGGCCTGGCCTGGCCGCGCTTCCGCCTTCCTCGCCTCGCCTTTCCCGCGACAGGGCGGCGGCGCGGAGGCTGGCCCTCCCCCCGGCCGGGCTCTTTCTCCCGGGGGGTGGCGCGGCTGCGGGCAGGCTCCCTTGCGCCGTGAGGATCCCCCTCTCCGCCGCGGCTGGTTTCTGTGCCTCCTTCCCGGGGCGTCTCTCCAAGCCTGTCTCTGAGGGTTTGCGGCCCCCCTCCACTGCCCTGTGGGTCGTCCGATCACCTCGCTCCTCCTCCGCCCCACCGCAAGAGAAAAGCCGCCCTTTCCCCGTGGGGGGCTGAACTTTTCTAGAGATTCTCAGGCTCCCCTTTCTGTGAGTCTCGGTCAGGGAGGGACTCTTTTCTTTTTCACATTAAGCCCTTCTTTCCCAGAAAGTTCTCTTCAGATGTGCGGGATGTGTGTATTGGGGGAGGGGGGGATCCACTTAGAAAAAGCGCCTAATGTGATCCTACGTGGATTCTCAAACCCCCCCCCCCCCGTCGGAAGGGTCTTGCGTCCTTAACAGCTGCAGGAGTTGTCCAAATGTCCTCAACCGGATGGGCAAGGCTGGCCTGAGCTCTTCAGATCTCAGAAGTGAAGGAGGGCTGACCCTGGTTAGTAGCTGACTAGGCTAGACACCTCCAAGGAAGTTCAGTTGTTGCCACATGGATGCATTGCAGCCTATTTAAGGAACACACCATGACAAGATAGGGATATCATCTCCTGCTTTTACAACTGATCTCCAGCTGACAAGGACCAGCTCCCCTGGAGAAAACGGCTGCTCTGAAGGGTGGACTCTATGGCATTGTACCCTAATGAGGCCCCTCCCCTCCCCAAACCCCTCCCCTCTCCTGGCTCCACCTCCAAAGTCTCCAGGTATTTTCCAACCCGGACCTGGCAACCCTATGACAAGACAATCTATACCTACTAAATTTCTGCTGTGCCTGAAGTATTTAAAAAGTGTAAAGAGTTCTCCTCCTGGGAGAAAAAGTTGGCAACGCTAGCTTTATAGCATGTTACCATCACAAAGTCAATGGAAATCCTTGAGTGCCTGTTGGTTACACTTTTTTTTTTTTTTTGCACATCCCCACAAATTTACACTGAAGTTGTGTTTGTGAGGTCATATCGAGCTAACTGGCCAAATATCAAATGTTTGTGAAATCTGTTGGGATTCTTTTTGAGTAAGTCAGCAGAGTATTAAGAGACTGAGTCCATGGTGTGTATTAAAATATAAAAGTTTACTATAAACTTGGAAAAAAGGTACACAGGATATAAAATAACAAAGAGCTAATATGTCTACATCCTTACAGCTAAAAGGTAAAATGGGAAGAGCCGAATGGCGTCTCCTTCTCTAGTCAGAACAAAGAACGGGAGGCGAAGCCAATATGCTAAATACTTGACACCTTGGTTTCCAATCAGACTAGCAAATTAGCTCCAAAGTTCCCGGGCATCCTATTGTCTAAACAGATTGGTTACAAACAAACATGTGACTTAACAAACATCATTAACCCTGTAAATACTGAAGTGTTTTGACTTGTAACACCCAACAAAATCAGATACCCTATTTCATTGCCTTGGGTTCCTTGACCCAGAGTGGTATAGAAGTTAAAGGCTAGGATTTGGGGAGACCCAGGTTCAAATCTCCACTCTGGTATGGAAGGTCACTGGGCGATCTTGGGCCGGTCACTCTCTGTTAGTCACTCCCTTAGTCTTGGACCAATCACTACTTTACAGAGTGATGATTGTGAGAAAATGGAGAACAATGCTGTAAGCCACTTTGGGTCCCACTGAAGAGAAAAGTGGGGTATAAATCAAGGTGGATAAAAATAAATGATTTTTTTAAAAAAAATTAAAAATCAGATTAAAAAAAATTAAATTGGATTTTAATAGAATGATTTTTGAGGAAAAAAATCTAAAGATCTAACTGCGCCAGGAAGGAATGCAGCTGATGCAGTAGCTGAAGCTGGGCAAAAGCACTCCAAACCACAACAGCCACCTGGTTTTTGAAGGTGACAGCTGTGTCATGTAGCATTTCCAATCTAATCTAATAGCCTAAGCTAAATGCTGTATGCTTTTTAAGCAATAAATATTCAAATAACAAGTCTGTGTTTTCTGTTTTTATATTATAAAATGTTCATAAGTATTCTAATATCCAATTTTCTATTGTTTCATACATACACGATGGAAAAAATTACAGTAACATAAACCAATCACAAGATTGAAAGCTCATGAATGACAAAACTGGGGTGTGTATTTACAAAGTCACCAAAGTGAAAAGAAAAAAACCCCTCTGTCTTTTCAGCACTGGATTTGTTGACTGAACTTTGGTGTGTTTACCTTTGCAGGCCTGTTCAAAATGCCCACACGGGATTAGATCTGTCAGTCCCTGAGTACCAGGAGATCCGGGGGAAGATGATGTCTGGCCATGTGGAATATAACATTGTGGTTGTTACCCAACTGGCTGCGTTCAAATCAGCAAAGCACAAACCAGAAGATGTCATTCAGTTTATGGTAATTGGTCACTTTAACGTTCTGTGTGTGAGAGGAGGAATAACTGTAGGAACTTCAAGTTGCTCATGTTTCTTATATGTTGGATTGTGGGCTAACTAGTTGGCAATTAGGTGCTGATGTATTGGAAATGAACTAAACAACAATCACAAAGCCTCCTCTGCATTGTACCCACAAAGTCCTTACCTCCAGTGTGGTGTAGTGGTTAAGAGCCGTGGACTCTAATCTGGAGAGCTGGGTTTGATTCTCCAGTCCTCCACATGAAGCCTGCTGGGTGACCTTGGGCCAGTCACAGTTCTCTCAGAACTCTCTCAGCCCCACCTGCCTCACAAGGTGCCTGTTGTGGGGGGAGGAAGGGAAGGCAATTGCAAGCCACTTTGAGCCCCTTGAGGCTGAGAAAAGCAGGGTATAAAAACCAATTCTTCTTCTATTTGGTGTAGTGGTTAGGAGCTCAGACTCTAATCTGGGAGAACCAGGTTTGATTCCCTACTCCTCCACATGCAGGTTTGATTCCCTACTCCTCCACATGCTGGTGTGACCTTGGGTCAGACGCAAGTTCTCTCAGAGCTGTTCTCTGAAGAGCAGTCCTCGAAGGAGCTCTCTCAGCCCCACCTACTTCACAGGGTATCTGTTGTGGGGAGGGGAAGGGGAAGGGATTGTGAGCCGCTCTGAGACTCCTTCAGGTAGTGAAGGGCGGGGTATAAATCCAATCTCCTCCTCCTCCTCTTCCTTCACTGTGTATCCTCTCCAAGCTTTCGGCATCATATTTAACAGGGACTGCCTCCATGTGCCTGTCCATCTCCTTGCAGCTGCAGCCTACCAGGGCGACAGAATGTGGATATGCTAAGACTGCATGCTCATGTGCTTGATACTCAAGGTATTATAACTTAAAGGACAATGCCAGTCATGTGGAAGGTTGAATCTTCTCAGCTGATATGCACACTAAAGACATCACATCTAAGGTGTAACTCTGCTAGAGGGTGGTAAGCCTGTGCTTGGGCTGTACCACATTACACTGTCAGTAAGGGTGGACATGATATATGAAAAAGAATTCTTGAACATAGAAAACCTTTGTCCATGACATCTAGTTTTCCATGTGAAAAACTCTTTAAAATGAAAGCATGTTCAAACATGTGAGTCACTACCTCCAGCAGTGGAATAGTCCTAACACAGGTATTCGAGACCTCTGTCTTAGCTGGCCTTTATTGATACATCTCAGAAGACTTATGTTCTTTGTAACTTTAGAGATCGCTGGCCGAAGCTGGTCCAATATAAAAGGGTTACCTTAGTTCTTCTGTATCTGTAAGCTGAATCTGTATTTGCTGAGGCCAATGCAGCAGTTACCAAGCAGAAGAAGAAGAAGAAGAGATTGGATTTATACCCCGCCCTTCACTCGGAGTCTGAGTGGCTTACAAACTCCTTTCCCTTCCCCTCCCCACAACAGACACCCTGTGAGATAGGTGGGGCTGAGAGAGCTCTTTTGAGAACTGCTCTTTCAAGGACAGCTCTGACAGAACTACGGCTTGCCCAAAGTCATCCAGCAGCTGCAAGTGGAGGAGTGGGGAATCAAACCTGGTTCTCCCAGATTAGAGTCTATGCACTTAACCACTACACCAAACTGACTCTCAGTATAATTAAACATCAGTGCTGAAAACTGGAGGCATTTTAGCTTCTCTATAGCTGGCTTATGCTAAGCTATCCCTAAGCAGTCTCGTATGTAACATGTGTTCATTTAGGTAATGTAAAGTGAGCTATCAAGTTGCAACAGAACGAAGTTTGAGTCCGGTGGCACCTTTAAGACCAACAAAGTTTTATGCAAGGTGTGAGCTTTCGTGTGCACACACACTTCGTCAGACGATGAAATGGAATCACATATCATAGTTGTGTATATGGGAGTGGGTTTGTCAAATTAGCATGCAAAATAGTGAGGACACTTTTTTAACAGATCAAAAGAATGACAAGCTGAGTTCTGTTTCAGGTAATAAGTATGTTAGAACTGGAGACTGATGTGCCCTAACTTGTGAGAATCCCGTCCTCAGACCCCATCCATCTCCTTTCAAGCATGGAGGTGAATTTTATGGCCTCTTGGCTGTGTGGAGTGTTTCCTTTTCCAAGTTTCAGCCTACATTCAAGGCAAGAGATGAACGGAGGTGGATTGTTATTGCCTTCCTCTGCACAGCAACCCTCGCCTTCCTTGGTGGTCTCCCAAACAAGTGTTAACCATGGCTCGGGCTGCTAAACTCCAGGTGGCACATGGAGCTCTCCCGCTATTACAGTTGATCTCCAGATGACCAAGATCAGTTCTGACAAAATCTGGCTAGCCTGGAAACATATAATATATACGTGATTTATAAGAACATAAGAAGAGCCCTGCTGGATCTACCGTATTTTTCGGACCATAAGACGCACCTGACCATAAGACACACCTAGTTTTTAGAGGAGGAAAACAGGGAAAAAATATTCTGAACCCTGGGGCTCAGTATTCAGTCCATAAGATGCACACACTTTCCCCCTCACTTTTTTTGGAAGAAAAAGTGCGTCTTATGGTCCAAAAATACGGTAATTTGTGTTGGAAGTGTAAAAGAAATATAGGGATGTTCTACCACATATGATGGCGATGTACAAGAACCGAGGTGTATGGGAAAATGATACAGAACATGATTGCATACATTATTAATATTAATTTGGTCCTAACTCCCGAAATAGTGTTATTAAATATGGTTCCGGAGGAATATAAGCAAAATGAGAAATATTTATTAGCATATATATTAACTACC